GTTATTAATTTTCAGTTATTCACTGTGACATATTTTAAAAGAATGAAATTTCGATTCGATTTCGAAAAGAATGATGCATATTGTGTGTTGCGTCAAACAAAAGCCTCATTATAAAATTGACTAGTTTCTCTTTAAAATAAGAAAAAACTTTTGATTACGCTTTTTAAATAAGCACAACTTTTGAAACATTCTGTATAAATGGCAGTTATCTTTATACGAGTCAATTCAAAGGGGTGTCATTTAACTTGATAAAATTTCGATGAAATCTAGTTTAAAATAAAGAGTTGATGAAGAGAAAAACTCTTTGTATAATTTTTGCAGATAAACCAGAAAAAATAACAAAATTTTATAATTCTATGTTGTCCATTGATGAATAAGTAATATCTATTTCTTTTTCTGAAGAAAATTTTAGAACCAAATGAAAAATGATTATTCAAAAGAATCAGCTATGTATCGTATATGTATGTGCCTAGAAGCTTATTTAACTAATCAAAAAAAAAAAAAGAAAAAGAAACAAGATGTCAAATACTTATTATTTCCCGTTTCTTTAGCATTGACTATCGCTCTGATCGATACACTTTTGGATAAGAACGAGAAATTATGTGAAAATGTTGTTCGATCAATAGTTGATACTGGTAAGAAATTACCTGAATCATATTGAGCAACTATCTTACGTGTTATTCAACGTTTTCTTAATTATCATCAAGAAAAAAGAAGGACAAATACCATTTGATAGTGATATATTTCAATTACTAACTCATGTTGCTGTTAATGAATTAACAATAGCCAAAGTTCGTTTCTATGCTTCCTAAATTTTTTTCTTTTCATATTTAAAATTGTCATGTTTAACATAGGAATTAATTTCCTTATAGCAACAAGCTGCTTCAGATATCTTAATTGATATTTGTAAATGTGAACCTAATCTCGTTTGTACAGCTCTTTCACCACATATGCAAGCTGGTCAATTGTCACTATTTTTCGTTCTACATTTTATAAAATAAACATTGTCTTAGAGTGTGAAAGTCTCGGCATCAAATACTCATTGATTTTTCGATCACTTGAAGGCATTTGTTATTAGACAGTTTGGAAGAAGAGACAATTTTCATGATTTTGTTTCGTTAAGCGAAGTTTATTCTATACAGCATGTTATTTATTTCTTGAATTCTCCAAGCTGGGTGTGGGCGTGGGTGTGAGTATGGGGTGCGGATGTCGGTGTCGGTGTGGGGTGGGTGTGAGTGTGTGAAAATGAACAGTTAATTTCACAATCATACTCATACCTACCCACATCCACACCCTCTACTAAAATGCTCTTTAACCATGAATGAAAACGAATTTCGAAAAATTTTTGTTCTAACAATAGTTCATGCAGAGATTATGAGTTTAATTTGAAATCTTTCCTAGTTGGACTCCAATCTTCATGATGAACTCTTAGAAAGAGAGTATATCATGCTCAAACTCTTTTCCACTACAAGTAATCCTGATTAAGATTACTTGTCCTTGAAAACTAAACTTTGTTTACTTCACGACCACAATGTTTCAATTATGAATACCTAGTATTGAAGACGAAATCAGATTGATCCTTGCGAAGATATAAATAGCAATTAAAACCAAACTGAAGTAAGAATATCAACAAAATGAATGAACCAAATAAACAATACCAATGAGAAACAATCTGATTGCATAAGGATCAATGATATGTTTTATAAACCATTATGCTTTATTTTTCTTGCGGCTACAGAATTGCAGGATGTGAGTATGGTTGATGTGTAGGGGTGCGTAGGCGGATAGATGTAGAGTGTGTAGGTAGGTGGATGGAAATATATTTTCATCGACAGCTACATTCACATCCTACACCCATTCTTTTAAAACCTTGGTGTCTCTGAACATAATAGAAAATCTCGGAGTGTGCTATTCCTCAGAGCAGATTATGCCCTCGATATCGTTATATCTCGAATTCGCCTATTGCTTTTACCGATACTTCACTGGGTTTCTTGTCATGTTCGGAAAACCATTCAATTAATAACATATGAGAACTATCATATTTTTTTTTCATTAAAAAGCTGCTCTAAATAAAAGATCAAAAACTGATATATTTAAACTTCGGTATATAACTGATAGTGAATAAACAATGTACGCTTGTACACTATACAACTCTTTACAGATCATGTATTGATAAATCTGAAGAAAAAAAAACATAAGAGAAGACACAACCGTTTTCAATTTATGAAAGACAAAAGTCACTGAAAGTATGTATTCATTCGTTTACTTGTTCTTTTTCATCATTATCACAATTAAAAACTAGAAAACGATTTATATCTTCAATAATAATATCAGCACCATAATCACTTGTTGGAAATGCTTCACTATCAGGACGCTTTTGTTCATCAACAGCTAATTGAATTTGATGTTCAAGTTCAATAGCTCGAGGATCTGATGCATATCGTTCTTAATAAACATCATTTAAGGAAAAAAACAAAAAGAATATATAGGAAATACCTTTTTCAGCAGTAAAACCTGGCGGTCAAAGATATAAATTAATTCGACCATCGAGTGCTAAACGAAGAATATGATTAGCTGCTCGATAAACATCAGGTCCTGATGCTTTTGCTGTCAATACCTTCACAAATATCCATTGCACTATAATTTTGTTTCTCATGTTCAAGTTGTCCTAATTTAAGAATTTTTGTCATTGGTAACCATTGTACAAGATATCCAACAGCTGTATAAGGTTCTTGAACTTGTGCTATTGGATGAATTCCAGCAAGAATCTAAACAAAGAAATATATATACGTATATATTGATTAAAGTTATTAAATTTGATTTGTATATTTTTTCTTCAAAATTTACTTGTTATGGTCGTTCAATAAATGAAGGAAAAACTAAACCGGGACAAGCACATAAACGTACAGTTGGTGTTAAACATATTGTTTGAGATACACTAATAACTTTATGACCAACAATACTATTTAATATTGATGATTTACCAACATTGAGATATCCTGTAAAACCTAATGTTCATCTTCCATACATTCTTGAATATGTTGTTTCCATGATGATCAATTAATTCGAGAACCAACTATTGATGATACACATTCATGTAATAATAATGGACCAATAGCATTTTATAGTAAAATAATCTTTTACAGCAATAACAAGTGGTGGAGGTACAAAATCGATTTTATTCAATATAATGATTATTTGTTTATTATGAATGCGTGTTACATAATATTGAAAGCTTTTCAAAGATATCTTGCGAAGAAAGTTCTGCAAAAAGAACTCTTCGTTGATTATTATTGAGAATTTTCTGCAGAGACTTCTATCCGAAAACATAGTTGGAATAAAAAGTGGTCTTTCATAATGCTGATAGACATTAGTGATTTGATATTTTTATTTCAAGAATGAAACAAATCGATAGACTTGATACCTTGATCATGAATTATTCTGGCTAAGATCTGCCTCTGTGTACAAATTTAAGTCGACAATAGTTATAAGCTAACGGTCTAAATTTTTTTCAAGGTATTAAAGGAAATATATAAATCAGAATAAATAATTCTAAAAATTAATTTTATCAATGAATCTATATATTTATGTGATATTTTATAGAAATAGTTTTACATTGAAATAAGTTTGTTCTTGTTGTTCTAATTGTTCTTTAGTCCTACTGTATGTCCATGCTGGTCGTATAGGCATATCAAGAGCACTTCCTGGTCGATAGATTTGCTCAATAGGAATTTCTAATGATTCTTCAGGTAATTTTTTAATGGGTAATTGAGTAAGTTTTTTTTGTCGATCAATTTCATCATGATTAACATAAAAGTTATCACAACAATTAAATAGAACTTATCAAATTCCTCGGAGGTCGGGTAAACTCTGATCGATGTTTATTTCTTTTTGACATGTTATTATTTTGACACATTAATATATTCATCTTTTGATTTATAAATAAATCTTCACATATCAGCGCTTAGTCTATCTGAACACTAAGAAACAATTTCTCAAAGGATGAAAAAAAATATTATTTCAGTTCTTTTTTGTCTTATGTAATTAAATGATCCTTTGATTTGTAACTTATAATGACTTTTGTTTATTCTGAGTATCATGAATAGTATTAACAGCAAATAACCGAATTTCCAAATGAAATACTGATCTATGTGTGGGTGTGGTGTGGGTGTGAGTCCTTCATTAAACACACCCACACTTATTTACTCAATTCAATATTTTTAGTATTTTTAAAAATTTTTCGTTTTCTATTATGAAATGATGACAAAGCAGTTCTTTTTTTTTTCTTTTATTTATTTTTTCTTCCTCTTCCTTGCCTCCTCATATTTGATGTATGTTCCATACTTTCAACTAGTTCGTATTAAACTGTAGGTTTGGACTAGGACAAAATGAAATATTCGAAACCTTTTACATTTATATGAAAAGTATCCTTAAGTTGATATTTTTTCATTTTGTTTTTAACTTTTATAAAAAAAAAACTTTCGAATGGGATTCTTAGCTGTTTTTATAATTGTAATTTATCACTTGGAAATTTTTGTTTTTATTTTTGACGTGTTTCGAAGGAATCTCATATCTTTGATGCACTATTCTAGCATTTTGAATTTTATCATTAAATAAGCTGTGTGATTTTCATCAATGAAAAATATTTATACTTTAAGCTATACCAAAAGAGAAGTTTATGAAAGATTAATAGAAATATATTTCTATATTAAAATAATCATAAATTCTATTATTTTTTACAATTGACTCGATTATATGAAATTGTACAGTATTCATTAATAAACAAAAAAAAATAAAAGGAAAAAAAATTCTATGAAATTCATACTAAATAAAATAATTCAAATATTAGATAAAACAAAAGATACATAAAGAAGAAAAGCAATAAATGATTGATTTGATTCATTCTCAAAAAAAGAAACTTTATGTACATAGTTTTCAACAGTATTTATCCGGTCATAATTATATAAAAGTATAATTTTTAAAATTTCAAATCCGTATTGAAGACAAACAGCTCAGTGTCAGGATTGAACAGATATTTATATATCGAATATAAACATATCAATAAATCTTTTCTTAAAAGCTTTTTTTATTAGAAATTTCTTATAATAAACATAAGGACAATATCATTTAATCGTGTTTTTCTTTAAAGAAACGTCTCCCTCTACACATATGTTCATCAAATGTTCTTCTGCTAGCAATATTGTCTCTCAATTTGATTTCTATCAGAGTTTAGAAAATACTTCATTTGATAAGATTTTTCAACAAGCAAAATTATTTTTTTTTTCTTTTCCTCATTCATTTGATGCAAACCGATAAGAATTTACACATTACCTTAAAATAAATTCAAAAGAAATTAGACTATGGGAAGACTATAACGCTGATTAAATCTAAATAAAAATACTTCATCGTATTAATACTTTGTCTGATATACAATTTAGTATAAAAATCTAGAAATAATATTGCTTTTTACATCAAAGTTGGTTATTCAAAATGTTTATAATGAAGAATTTTTTTTCTATTGATAAATCTCAAAAAATTGAAGGAGTTCAAATGTGATAAACTCTATCGTCAAGAGACTATTTAGAGATGAATTCATGACTGTTGAAGCAGTCAGATGAGCATTTGCTTCTGCACATGATCATTACTATTTGGATGAATATGATAATATAAGTGAATATACATCATTCATAGTTTATAATGTACAGGTTGATGGCGTGCTTTTCTTTTATAGTTTCGTCTAAAATGACAGAAATTTATCACCCTTCTAATTGTTGAAAACAGCACGTGATTGATCAACAAAAAAAATCTTCTCTAAAACTGTTGAAAAAGAAAATGCAATCTTATAAAGAAACAACGCCTATTTTTTAAGTTTTGAAAAACGAAAAGTCTCTATTAAAAGAATCTCGTGTTGATGAATCGCCTTGCCTTATATTATGACTTTTAAATTAAAAAAAAATATTACTTGAATGCAAAGATATAAGGATTGATTTAAAGTAAATTGTTGTAAAAAAAATATATGCACTGATTTGAAATCGCTCGATTGTTCTTATATTTAGAGAAAAAAATAAATTAAAATAAAGAATATTTTTTAAAAATCTCTTGCATTTCTTAAAGATATTTCAAAGATATTTTATAAATACATATGAGCCAGTTCAGATAAGCGACGACCGACCCTGCTCAACCGAGGTCGTCAGATTTTGCTCAATTTTATACATATTGTAGAGGCAAGAGTTCTATGAATTTTGACGCAAGCCGTTTGAAAAAATCTTGTTCCGTTCCCAAGATATTGAAACTTTTCTGAGAGCACCCTCATCAAAAAAGTGAATTTTTTATGATTTTTTGTGACATCTATATCTCATGAAGGAGACATGCATTTGACTTGAAATTTTAACTGTTAATACATATCATAATATTGTATTACCGAAAAAAAATTCAGCTTGAATTAATGAATCATTATGGAATAAGCCAATACCACAAAGTCAATTAAAAAATTGTCATTTTTCATTGCTTTGTGCACTTGCATTTTCTGAGTAAGGATCGACCTAGAGAGCTGAAATTTTGGCTATAGTTATATCTAATTTAGTACTTGTTCCTCTAAAAATTTCAGCTTTCTAGCTAGTTCCAGTCGTTCAGGAGAGCCTCACCAAAAATGCATTTTTAACGAAAGTCACGATGTTTAGCGAGTCCGATCTAGAGCAAAATCAGCTCTATGAAGGTCGGACACTTGGCAATTTAAAGTACCCACTGAGTGGTACAAAGTTATGCAAAAGTTCGCCTGGGACACTGAAAAATGGCTTTAGGAGACTTATCGAAAAATCGAAAAAATAGCCTCTTTTCTATAGTAAATGCATTCATGTTCAATTAAAAAATACTGAAAGACTTACAATATGCCAGATGAATTTCATCTAGTATACATCAGTATGTGACTCTCTATCACCCTTAATTAAAATATCTTTCCAAAATGAAAAAAAAAATTTTTTCGAAAAGTCCCCGTAGGGGAGTACGGGGGTTTGCATCAAATTGTTTTCTCGAAAAGTTGCCCTAGGGGGGTACGGGGATTTGTGTGAAAATTTTGTTTTTTCATTTTGAAAAGATATTTTA